GCATCTGTATCTTACGTACATTCAAAATTAAAAAACAGTGCGCAACCTAATTGTATACATGCTTCAAATGACTGTAAATGCTGAATTATTTTAATACGTCTATTCTGCTTTTTACTAAATGTTTTCATTGTTCTTCTCCACAGCTTTGGAATTTGACTCAATTAATTTTTGCCTTCCCTACCGTCATTTCCATCAGAATTATTTGTTTACTAATAACTACGCCATTTGTTTCAAATCTAGTTTTTTTTTTCCTAAAAAGTCATTGAATTCTTTGTGACTAACGTAGTTTTGACTGTTATCACGTTACGCTCAGCCATCTTCATGCCATGGTTGTGTTTACACTGTCTGGGTGAGGGCCGCTCCCATCGGCCAAACGTCTCTTGATAGCAAGCAACACCTACTTTGTAAGGCATCATCACACTTGCAACTGATGCAACACCAACCTCACTCAAGTTTCAATAAACGTGCAAAGACATAAGACCACACTGTGACACAAAACCCAGGATTAATAGATTAGTCATTACAGTTGTCGCAGGTTTAAAAAGCAATTAGAGATCGCATATGGGTTCGTCAGCAATCATCCGGACAAGTAAGGGAACACCAATCAGCAGTAGAGAACAACCATGATCAGTTTGTAGAATAAAGTGACGCATACATGCGTAGGATTGCTCGGCTAATTGTGCTTGTTTATAATACGAAGCATGCCATATCAAAGCAGGGTTTCTCCCCCAGCCTTTAACGGCATGTCAGGTCTGACGCGTCTTCGAAACTGAAGGCTAATATGCAGCACCCGCATATAAGCCGCCACATTCTTTAATTGGCTCAAATGTCAGGCATACCTACAATTGTCCAGTTGCATTGTAATTTTGAGCCATAAGCCCACATAGTCACGCTGTGTTATCACACTTCATGTTATACTTCTCCAACTAATCGAGTTACCCGTGCATTAGGGAGGGGGACCACTTACGACACGCCATAAATGAACTCCGATCGCATGACCGCCCTGCCGCACACGCAGCCCGCCCACCATGCTGTTCCACGGAGCGCACGCCTTCCATAACATGCTGGGGAGACCAACCCTGCAAAAAGGAACCATGACACTGGCGCGTCGGGATGCAGACGGACGGCTTGAAGTCGTGCATATGCTCACGCACGCATGCGCGTCGGAGTGTTGGCCGCTCGTGAAGCCTCAAGGCAGGCAGCGCGTGGACCGTTGTTGAAGACGGCTTCGTTCTTCTGCGAGCAGCCTCTCCACCGCGCTCTCGCCGCTTTCCTCACTCCGGAGAGCACTCAACGCCTGCAGAAGAGAGCGACAAGGAATAATACGCAATTATTATCTTAATTTGAATACCAAGACCTGGCCAACCTGTGATTCAATGAAAAATATAAAGGCTGTTTTTTTATTCCTTGCAGGTGCAGGCGGCGCATTTTGTGTTGTGATGGTTATGTTCGCAGCAAATGAATGATGGGACTAACTTCTAGACACCGCGAAGAAACAACGTGACGCGTGATCCAACTATGGTGCACCCACAATCCGCCAATATTTCTCGGCTCCAATGTACAAAACATTAATTTCCACACAGTCGTAAAAAATTCGTAAGTTTGTCAGTTTTGATCGTACCTTCGTAGAAAACATCATGGAATTCGTAAAGAATACGAAAAAATCGTAGGGTTTGGCAGGTCTGAATACTACTAAAATTAATCAAATAAATAATGAAGATGAATCGATAATAATAATCATAATCATAATCATCATATACGACACATACTATATTAAATGTGACATAATCAGCTAGGCTATGTTACATGAAAAAAGGTGACACCTGCGATAACAAACTTGTGGTTACGAGAGGCTCTAATGTTCAGTTTGCGTCATTTCATGATTTCATTGAAATATGCATTAACGGCTAATGCCATATAAAAGATTGAGTGTGAAAGGCTACATTTACGTAGAGATCAGATTTTAGCGAACTAACTTTTGAGCAACTAAATCGAAAATATTTCAAGATTTAAGTGCAATTTTGGGCACATATTCAAACTGCACAATACCCATGTGACTGAATGATTAGATTTACTTGCGGCAGGAATGCAGCCGATTTGTTAGCGAGATATATGTTACGAAACCAACCGAGTTTTTTAGTCTCCTTTGTGAATGCTGAGAGCCGTGCATCTGCCTATGCATCTTCTCGCGTATCCTCACTAAGCTTACTTTACACGGATCAATGATCTTTCCAGTCGTTATTCTGCAACGCTGTATAAAGGAAACCACATGGAAAGCCAACATCTCACATGGCAGCAAATTATCGACCCACGAAAATTCGTTTAACCGTACATATATTAGCACAAGATTTATTTAGGTAATGGCTAGAGACAGTTCGAAACTTTTGTTTTATCACCAACAACGTTACCGGATATCCCAACATCAGTCTCAGTGATAATCTAAAAGGTTTCCCGTTTGCTGGGTTTGCAAACTTGGGCAATCTGTTGAGCAATACGAACATTTAGGTCCAGTGAATTTGCACACATCATTAGTATTCTATGCGCTGTGCCTGTTTAACTCTGTAATAAGCAAAAATATAAAGGAACTAATATTATCACAAGATTGCACACATTTAGCTGTTTATTCAGGCTTCAATAGTGTCTTCAACCGACTAAAAACTACATGTGATCATGAAGACGCATGGCTCAATTGGCAAAACCACGAACGCAGCAATTATGGTATAGGTTATGGTTATGTGTTGCAAATATACTACGCTTGCTCCTTTTCTGACGAACTGCAGCTCAACGATTTGCCTTATTTCTCTTAACTGTGTGAGTATCAGTCAACACTTCCTTCAGTGGGACAGCAGGTCTTTGACACTGGTCACTGAGCACGGAATAGGCCTAAATGGTAGTGGTGTCATTCGTAAACTGACAGTTTGAATGCCTAATTAAATACCTCCTCTGCCGTGGACTGCAACGATTCAAACACAGCCATTATTTAACCAAACAGACTCTTTGCTTATAATACATATAGCAATATATTAATGTATAGATAGAAATAGAATAAGATGCTATCTTGGTTAATTGTTACTCAAGCCGTTGTTGATTCAAAACGTACTGCTGACGAACAGAGCTGACTCAACTTTGAAGAGATAAAGTCTTCCTGATAAGGAATGGCGAGAACGTCAGCCAGTACATTTTGAATGCAACACTGTTGTAAGTAACAATTAACCAAGATAGATGTACCAACGCGAATAAACTTTATTTAATGAGTATAATAGAATATTTATAGAATACTAGAAATGATTTAAAGCTGTGCATGTATAATTTTCTCTAAACAATTTTTGGCAATGCCCTACAGATTGTTTTCTACAGTCGAGTACCTTTAAGAAGCTTGAAAGGCTCTAGTGGTGAAAAAATTGTAGCGACAAAAATACATCTTTGTTATTAAATGAGTACATGCTCATGTGTAATTTGTGTGTGATTCACACAAACTTCAAATTATAATCTGGTAGATGCTCTGTCCCGCTTCATATTCAAAAAC